TAGCTTCCTGAATTGGGGCTTGGAGGAAAGGCAAGCTTGGACTTGTGAGGCTAGGTCCATCCATCTCAGCCTCACATTGCCCCCTACAGCCCTGCTCCAAGCTCAAGGCTACCCTTTGACTATGCCCTATTTCCCTCAACTCTGAGCATTTCATTACCCTCTTTTCCATTGCATTTCTCTCTCATCTCTTTTCTTTCACATTGTCATTGGTTGGGTCATAGATACCCTAGGAGACTGTCACCTGGGCTATGTCTAGATTGCATTCCTCTCTTGAAAGAGGAATGCAAATGAAGCAGATCAAAAATTCAGATGAAGCGTGGATTTACAAATCTCACACTTCATTTGCATAAAAAAACTCTGCAGTCTAGACGGGGTTCTTTTGGGGAAAAAACCCTTTTTCAAAAGAACCCATACATCTCATTCTTTCAGGAGTCTGGGTTCTTTCGAAATTTTTTTCAAAAGAACCCTGTCTTTTTTTTTTTTTTTTTTTTTTTGAAAAACCCTTTTTTGAAAAAGCGCTCGGACACGATTATGCAAATGAAGCATGAGTTTGTAAATCCACGCTTCATTTGAATTTCCGATCTGCTTCATTTGCATTCCTCTTTTGAGAGAGGAATGCAGTCTAGATGAGCCCTTGATGGACTGATCATACCTCTGAACCTGCCTACTTTCCCCCTCCCCCCGCCCTGCTGAGCCAGAAGCTCTGGTGTTCCCTAGCAAAGGTACAGAACTGGGGTTACAACCCACATCAGAGCAATTGAGATCATACACTGAGATCAGCTCAGCTCTGGTAAGACTCAGTCACAGGGACTTGACATAGCCCCGAGATGCACAAAACCAATGGGATCAGAACCTCAGATAAATCCCTCTTACTCTGCATAAAGTTTATACAGAGCAGACTCATAAGTTATTCACCCTCTCTGTCAATGGACTTTACCTAAACTCTATCTATTAGGAACTAGGTTAACATGCACATGAGGGACAAATTATCCCACATCTACCTATTACCATGTTTCTTGTCTCTTCCTCTGAAGCAACTTATGTTGGCAACTGCCAGAGGCAGGCTACTGGGCTAGATGGACCAACAGTCTGATCCAATATGGCAATTCTTCTTTCCCACTGTTTTTGTTTCTTTGAAGGCCAGGAGGGGATGGTAGAATCTAAGGGACCTCAAAGAATAAAACACCAAAAGACCTTTATAGACATAAAAAATATGCCATAGATAACACTCATTCACTGTGAAGTCCAGCATGATAAATAGAAAAAGCAAAAATGCAAAATTCTAGTACATCTTCAGTACTAGTGCAGACCAATTTCACCATTGGGCACATTAATGGACAAACATCAACAAATACCAATAGAGTTTTTCATGGGCAAGTCAGCAATTAGTTGGCAGTTAGTTATGTGATCTCCCACATACCTTTGAATTATATGTACAATCCTCATCACTTTTGCTAGGTATTTATACCATGCCCATCACCATGCTGTCTGAGCTCCTGATCCATTCTGAGCTCTGAACCCAAACCAAAGATAATATAGACAATTATGTTAGTCTATAGAAGGCTACAGCTTTATCAACAAATTCCAGGAAAACTATAACTCTTAAAAAGTGAAGATTTTTTCATGAAAGCCCAGAGATACAATTATTTCCTTTTATGTATAAAGTACAAAAATAAATAAACAAAGTAAGAGAGAGAGAGAGAGAGAGAATCATAACGCTTATTTCTTATTTACTGTTATTGGTTTTCCTTTCCCATAGCTCTGTCTCTCTCTCTCCTCCTTGTGTTTTTATTTTTTAAATTGGAAACTAACTTTGCCTGGGGTCTCATATGTATCAGTTAGTAGTTGTGTGATGCAAATTTCTTCATCTCACCACCAAACTTCCATGCACAGCATTGCATAAAATACTGATCTACAATACATTTCCCTATATGAGTCCTGGGCTGCTTCATGAGTGGACTAAGTTAATTTTCAGCTGTGCTAGGAGATGGATTTGAACCCAGGCCTCAGAAGTTGAAAAATTAACGTGCCTGGTATTAATGCATAGTGTAAACCAGACTCCCCAATCTCCCTTCCTCTTTTGCTGTTATCCTGTTTCCCAGTGTTTGTCACATACCGTAGTTTTTGGCCACACCACACTGTAACAACTTTATAGCACGGCCTAAAGCAGAATATACTCAGAGGTTTAATGAGTAGAAGAGACCACTGCGATAATGTAATAGTTCCTCAGGACACCCTGCCTTGTTCTGAATGCAATAGTTAATACGTTGATTGATAATAATATAGTGAGGCTAAATAGGGACCTCTTATCTATGCCCTAACTAATGATCTTGATAGTGACTTAGTGGGACAGTATTCCATAAGAATATGCTTTATCCTCCCATATTGACTAGTTTGGAAAGTTAAGCAATGCTTTAAAGCAGTGTTTCTTAAACTTTTTAAGACCGAGGAACAACACAGCGCCAAATTTTGAAATAAAACCCTATTCTGAAACACCCCTTACAGGGACATCAGGTTTACAGGGACATTGGAATAGTGAGCCCGAAATAATGGGCTTACTGTGAAGACACAAGGATAGCTATTTCAGGATACTCTGGTATCCTAAAATAGCATTGCAGTATAGATGTACCCTTAGTAAATAACAATCTGTGTCCCAAAAATCTTATAATCTAAAAGACTGCTATTCCCTAATGGTTTCAGAGACTGATAAGCAGTAGACAAATGAGTGAAATATTTAGGGAAGTGCTTTGTTTTGAATCATCAGTCCTTACTCCTGATGTTCCAGAAATACACCTGTATTACAGAATCCTGCTGCCTACACTCTCCTGAGACATTACAGATCAGTGTTGGAAACCCAGACATGAAAGCTGAGTCTCTCTCAACCTGAGACTAACCATAAAGCTGTGTTGTTTGAGACTAAGGTGTAAGATGTTCTTTTCTGTTTGCATTCTGTCTTATTTCCTTCTAGGATACCACAAAGAACAGGTCAAAGACTTGTGTTTACACGAAGGCCAACTTTTTTTGGGAATCTAAATGAGCTGGAAAAGGGGCTAAACAGTGAGGTGGCAAAACTTCCAGACGATATAAAATTACTCAAGATGGTTAAGTCCAAAGCAGACCACAAAGAATTACAAAACAATCTCACTAAACTGGATGACTAGGCAACAAAATGGCAGATGAAATTCGATGTTGGTAAATGAAAAGTAATGCACATTGGAAAACACAATCCCAACTATACATACAAAATGATGGGGGTCTTAAGTTAGTTGTTACCACTCAGGGATGAGACCTTGGAATCGTTGTGGATATAGATTTAAGAAAAGTTTGTTTAAGTTTCTATAAAATGTTAGGAACCAACCATTAGGGATGGGAAAGATAAGACAATATCATAATAGCACTATATAAATCCATGGTATACCCACACTTTGAATACTGCATGAATCCTATCTCCAAGAAAGATATATTAGAAATGGAACAGGTACAGAGATAGGCAACAAAAACGATTAAGGCTATGAAACATTTTCCATATGTAACATTGACAGGCTGACCCAAACATGGGACTGCTGTAGAGCATGAGTCCCTACAGTTTGAGATAAAAGCTTTCAGCTAATGCTTTAAAGCAAACTCATTCTTTCTCTCTGAAATGGTCTAAATGCCCCTACCTGAGACAGTCCACCACACCCAAAAGGCTTGAATTGTTCATCTTGAAAACAAAAAGAAATGACTAAGAGGGTGTAATATAGAGGTGTAAATATCATGACTAGTGGAGAGAGGGAATAAGGAAGTATTATTTGCCCCTTCCCATAACACAAAAACTGGGAGTCACACATTGTATCTAATCAATGAAATAAGAATTCACCTTTTGCTCTTCTATTATGGACCTTTTGACTGTATTCCTTTTAATGGGCATATAACAGCCCAGGAAAAATGTTTTTTTAACTTTACAGTGGCCATTTGAACACCAGCTATGCATATCTCTCAACTTTACTACATTTGGAGAAAAATTACTTATTTTGACCCCAAAATTACCAACAATGCAGACAAATTTGGTACCCCCTTTCTTTTATTATTTAAACTTATTTAAATTAGACAAAGAGTTAGGGACCAGAGGTTATAGGAAGCATCATTAACATTAGAAAGGGGGGGGAAGGGAGGGTGTCTCATGGCATTTTAAAGTTTTCTGTTTGAATAATTTTTGGTGGCCCTTGGGTCTTTGTCACACACCATGTCCCATATTTGGCCTTTGGTGGGCTCAGAGGTCTGGTGATAAAGGAGCAATGCAACAAAGGTATAGCTACATAGAAACAATGGTGGAAAATAACATGGAATATTACAAACATAAAAAAGGTAACCCTGAATGAATCGGTGCAAAAACACCATACAAAAGTATACTAAGTGGTACCTCTATCTAAATTAGGAAAAACTTAAAAAACAACAAATAGACTAGTAGCACCTTAAAGACTAACAAAACCATCTACATGTTTTGTTAGTCTTTCAGGTGCTACTAGTCTATTTGTTGATTTTTAAGTTTTTCCTGTTACAGACTATCTCGGCTTCCCCTCTAAAGCTATCTAAATTAGGTTAGTCAGTGGAACCGCCAATATGCTAAAAAGGGACTTACACTGCTGTAGGTAACCTGCAGCAGCTGATCACATTTGATGAAGCCTGACATTGCTGTCACAAGCTGTTAGAACCCCAAGCAGGGCAGAGCCTTTAACAAAGGGCAGAGTGTGTATTTAGCAGTTAGTGCCTGCTGTTGAGTCACAAGCAAGATTTGCCTGGGGGTTTAGTGCCTTACATCCGTGTACAGACGCTCAGGGCACGCCTCTTTCTCATACAAGCCTTGTCAAGCTAGTCTCCCAAAGGTGGTGCTAAAACAGCCCTCTGCTGTCCTGACAGCTGCAGGAACCACATAATCGCTCAGACTATCCGGGTAAGTTGTTTGGCGTGCGCTTTTAAACCTTTCCAAGGAAAACTGGGTTGTTGGGGAAGGGGGGGGGGTCGCTTAGGAGGAGTTAAATGCGGGACGGAAAAGCAAACATCGGTCCCTGAAATCCGACACCAAAGTTCTCAGGCTGGTGAGTGTGGCAGGCAAGGGAGAAAGTGGCTGTGTGTTATTGCTGGAATGTATTCACACCCAGCTAGCGTGTTCATAACTGCTCCCTAACTGCGTGGAAAGGAAGTTAGCAATGCAGGTATGGAGCGCTGGGCCTAAAATGGCAAATATCTGTCTTGAATTTCTGTGCTTCTTCTCTCCTTTTGGTCATTCCAGATTACATTGCAAGGCATGCCGATTTGTATGCCAGTTGGAATACGTCCTCAGTGCAGGTTGCCTGAAAACTGGTGGTTGGTCCCTCTGCTTAATATTTGTGTATCAAAAAGCTGTTTTTTTGTTTGTTTTCAAAGCATCCAGGTGTCAATACTTCCATTTTATTGCTATTAGAAATTTCACATGTGCTTTCTGGGGAGCTCTAAGGTAAATAGAGAGGCTGGCACAATATTTTTTTCCATTCTTTAAACTTTCTTTATGAACTTAGTTGTGATGTTTTTTCTTGCCACTTTGCCCCACTTTATTTCACTTTTGTATAAGATTTTAAAAATAACAGCATTCTTCTATTTTCTGAATGCTGATCAGGTTCTGCTCTATTTAATAAGAGGTTACTGGTAATGTTCTCTGAAGCATTCTTACTGTTTCATTTCCAGTTTTAGATAAAAGAATTTGGTGATGATAGACAGTAGTTTTTTCACAGTATCTAAGCTGCTTGTAGTGAAGTTTTATAGCGCTATAAAATCTGGGAAAATCTCTGTCTTGTTGGTAGGATCGTATGACGTGTAAATGGAGTAGAACTAGTCTCCCTGGTTATGAAGTTATTTAAAATGTAGGACAGTTAAGGGCAAGGTCTGCTGATGATAGTCCAGTTTTACATCAGATTTAGCTGGAAGATGCCAGTGGATTTATAATTTTTATATTGACATACAAGGGAGCAGAAACCTGCATCTAGTTTGTAATTGCTAGGTTTTGTGTCTAAAATGTGAGCTGTTCAAATTGTGCCTTGCACACTACAATGGACACTGTCTCCCATTCCTGCATTCTAAAACCTTGCTCTGTCCCCATGTTGTCTCTGGAATAAACCCCTGCTGCTGAACTGTGAATATATTAAGAGGTTTTCCTGGGGAGCTGAGAATTCCTTGCAATCAATAGCAACTTGCTTCACAATAATGGAAAGGTTATATTGATCCTGCTGCGCTGCTGGGCTATTTGAGCTTCACCATTACTGCTCATGAAGGGACCATGAAGACTTTCAACAGCAACTGGCTTATTCTGCTCTCCTAGATGTCAGTAAATGGACAAAGTCAAAGCTGACACATACAAAATGTTTTGTTCCCCCTACTCCCATTTTTTTCCCCTCAATTAGCTTTTGAAATAAAAAGCCCACACTTTCGTGATCCACTTAGAATAATCTTAGCGTGTTTGGGGGTGTTACTGTGGATGCACTAATCTCCTTGGTAGATGGGAGTGGAAGGTCATAATCTTAGTGTGGGATGGTCAGGATTGAGTGTTATGGGGTTTTAGTAAGGGATGTTGGACCAGTCTGAATGTTTGGATCAAATCTCTCTTCTAGAGGCAGGAGTGGACATGTTCATATATGTCTAAATCAGTTAAATATCATGCCAGCTGTCCACTCTACTGAAAATCTGTTCTTGAGGAAGGAGCTATGTGAAACTGATAAGTGATCTCTAGAGAATTCTTCCCTGTTTCAGTCTCAGCTGGCTCACAAGGAGCAAAACAGCCAGGAGTATAGGATGAGGTGAAAATCCACCTTGGCAAGTCAGCCATATCACTTTGAACTGGCATTTTAACACTGTTGTAGTTTGGTAGCTTTTAATTAAAAATGAGTGATCTAGGATATATTGAATCTGTCTATATAGATGGATAAATTTGTGGGATGTTTTGAATGGCTCAATTTATATTGAAGCAGCTGACCTCTAAAAGCCACCCCTGCCCCCCTCAAAAAAAGGATGCTTGCATCTTTTTAAGAAGCAATTTCCTGTTCTGCTGAGATGAAACCTGTAACATTTACTTGGAGAGACTCAGAGTCCTTCTGAATCAGGGGCAAGAAAGAGTATAGCTACCAAACTGGAACACAGTACTTTGATTTAGCAACAAATAGTTGGGTAGCACTTTATAGACTAACAAAACATGTAAATGATATCATGAACTTTCATGGGTACAACCCACTTCAGATGACTGGAGTGTTGGAAGTCCAGATCATAGGATAAATAAGGGAAGGAGCGAGGGGAGGGGGGAGAAGGAACAAAAATTGAAGGGGAGGAAGAAAAAAAGACAGAGTAGATAAGCTTCAGAGGGATAGCCAAGTGAGTGTGTAACAGGGAAAACTTCAACAACAAACAGTCTGCTGCATCTTAAAGACTGAGTAGTTATAGAGGTTGATAAGAACTAATGGTTCTTATTAGCCTCTTATAACTACTCCATCTTTAAGGTGCTACTAGACTGTTTGTTGTTTGAGGTTTTTCCTGTTACACACTCACCTCTGAAGCTTTTGATTTAACAGTTATTCCAGAATAGCTATTTTGAATAACTCCCGCTATACCCATAAAATACGAAATACCGCTGTCATTAATGTTTCTACTCTCCCATCACTGGGAGAACGAGTGAGGCTGAAACATGGTGTGATATGTACAGGAAAATCAGCCAATCTAGAAGTAAAATACACTGCTGTTTGTTAGCAATTTAGCTAATCCAGAAATATTATTGCCCCAATGCATCAATTTAGAGAGTGTTTTATGTACTTGCAGCCAGTACAAAACCTGTTTAGTCTTTTCAATGGTGACGAACTAGAATGTCCAGATATAACCTCGTTCTGCAGGCTATTTTCTGACTGTGTGTGAAGGTGTAGAATGAGCTCATTTATTTTATATCCCTCCCAAATTCAATGTTACAAGGTCTTTTAAACTAATTTTGTACATCAGTCTATGGAGACGAAAAGCATTCACTCAAGGGTAAAATAAATCACATGCTTTCAGGCATGTGGAAAGAAAGGGCTGGACTCTGGAACTATGCCCATTTACAACAGGAAAGGATCTTCCCCCAAACATTTGTAATTCTTGATCCAGACTTTTTTAAAAACAAGACCATTTTCCCAAGTCACAAACACTCAAGTGAGCAAAAATGGTAAATGTCACTGTACTGCAATGCTCTCAAAATTCAAAGGTTGTGCGTGAATCCTCCAGAACCCAGTCTTGGTAACATTTTGCATACAAAGCTACCAAGTCCAGTTCAGCAGTGATGTTGAGATAAGTGATAGCTCTCAGGGGAGTGCATTTGTGGTGTTTCTCTGAAGGCAAACATTATAATGCACCTGCTGACACATCTGCATCAGGGTGTAGCAGTCCATTTAGAATGCCTTCATAAACCCTCCCTTAGTATACCTTGAAACTCTGAGGGTGGACATTCCAGGACACGCCATATGCTTGCTTCCAGAGTACATGAATTGAGGTGTAGATATTGCTGTTTAGCAAATGGAATGATTAAGAACTGCTAGTAAAAAAATATTGCCCCTGAGAGATTACAATTATACCCTATATGGTGCATCATATGCTTTTGAATAACCATTATTTCTATATGCTATTAATGTGGCCTTTGGACAGAGAGTGAAATTGATTCCAGATGCAAGAATCTCTATCGTTTTAGTGTGTTGAACCATTAAATTTTTGAGCTCACTCAGTGAATACACAAACAGCTATGTTTTGGTCTCAGATTTGCCATAGAGAATACACACTGTGCTCTGTTTCATGGAGACTTTTTTGTGTTGATTTCTTTTTGGACTTTCCCCCTGGCAATCTAATACAGCCATTTTGCACTCTGTACATGGAAACTTAATGCAATAGCATTCACTTCAGTGAATTTATAACAAAGATCAGTTTGGCCCTCAGTGTGAAGAAGAGCTTGAGTCTGATTTGCTTCTCAATGTCCTCTATCCCTTTGAATATAGCTTGGTATCCTCATATTGTAGTACAAATAATCTTCAAAGTGTCTTTATTTTAACTAATGGTCAGCAATACAATCCTGTCTCCTCATACTGTGGCTGAAACCACAGCTAATTCAGAATGTAGTAAGTGATTTGTTGGAGGAGCGATAGTCCATTATCTATTGTTCTGTAAACTTGTTAATCTTATAGAGTTCACATAGGAAACTACATATTCTGTGCCAAAAGAGTGTCTGAGATATTGGCTTCATTTAAACCTTAAGGAACTGCCTAGTTCCCAAATATTTGATAATGATCAAGTGGCTGTGTCACAAGGGTTCTGGCGAAGAGGTAGATGTGAGGAAGGGTTTGGCAGTACAGAGCTGGAGCCAAATTGCTTATCTTCCCTGAGACAGGCCCTGACTCACTTCACCTCCCTGCAGTCAGAACCTTCACTGATCTCAAATTTGCCTGTCCCAAGGAACTTGTATCTCCACCCTCAGGCTGGCAATTAGCTGAGTGAGACCAGAAATGAGTGTTTCTGGAGGTCAGAGAGAGAGCAACTGGATGTAAACTTTAAGAGCCTGGTTTTCTTCTCATTGATATTAGTATATCTCTCTGGTAGGTTTGCTGAAGTTATGAATTTGAGGGGTGTACAATTGGCAAAAGTGAAAATGAGGCACAGGATCTGCTTGGCAGCAGGTTGGAGATGGGGTGTGGTATGGAGTTTGTGCTCTTCTGCACTGGAGAAAGATGGTGAATGTGTTAAGGATCATTTCTAGGATGAGATGCTGAAAGTTGAATCTTCACTGCCTCTGTGTAGCTTGCTAAGAAGGTGCTTTTCTCTCTAAGCACTATAACAGTTAAGCATTCTAGTATAGTCATTTTGTGTCTTCAGAATGAAATATGTTCTAATTCGTAAGAATTTTACACTGACTAATCAAACTGCTTTAATATTCCTGTGGGTCTCCCAAGGAATGGAGAAATAATTGACTACTGTATTTCAAGAGTGATGCTTTAAAGCTAGAAAAGACATGAATGCTTTAGAGTTCACTCATTACTAATGTGCCACTGCCAATAAGAAACCTTCTTTGTGTGCAGTTTTAAGTCATGCTAAATGGGAGAAGATTATTTTGCAAACCAAAATAATTTTGATCTCTATTGTACATTTGTATTTAAACAGAACAATACAGGAAATGTAAATCAAC